TTTTTTTTTTTTTTTTTTTTTTTTTTTTTTTTTTTTTTTTTGTTAATATTATATCACATTGGCTTTACTTTTTCGAATCTTCTACTTCTAAGAAGAAATAAGGATGGATGTTCTAACTTTTGATGCCAAATATTTCAGGTTTAAAAAGTGTGAAGCTTTCATATTCTGTTGAATGAAGGCTTCATGTTATAAACAAAATGCTTACATTGTTCTTCACAAGGAGATCTCAAGTGAGTTGGGAGAAATAGGTTGACAAGATAATGTTGTGAGCATGGTCCACTGTAACTTCCTTCCTGCCAACGAATTAAGACTCGTGTTAGTAACAAAACAAGAACATTTCGGACGGTCTAATCAGCGTCGAATCGTTGATGAATGAAAATAATACCATGGGGGAATGATACGAATCAAGTTCCCAACTTCAAGTTCAACATTGCTGCAAACTCTTGGGCTGAAAATAACGGTCCTTTTCTCACCTTCAGTTGCAATGGCTTTGTCGCCATTTCGCAACGCCAAGCGCTTCGAAACGAGGAGTATCATTACAGCGAGCTAATGTATTGAATCAAGAAATTCAAATATGAAACTGTTCGAAATAGGAACTATAAATTCCTCAACAAATCTGTTACAGTAGAGTTTTAAGCGCCAATCGGGAACGAAAAAGTGAGGAACGAATTACAAATCTATGAAAAGAAAGAACCAAGACTCTAGTGTTCCTTTTCTCCTCAATGCTAACAGATACCCAACCATTTTCATTTCCTACTTTCCATGTTCGACTAGATTCATCAAATAAATAAAAGTTCACGAAAGAGTACTACATCTTAATTTTCGACGGTAAAGGTTCATGTTCAGATTCAAGTTCAGGCTTTCTTTCTTAAGTAAGCATCATCAAAGAGGGCCATGCGACTCGGAGGACATATGACTGATTGAGCAAACAAATTCTAATCTACTTATTGGAATCCCGACATATTTGAATCCAAACAGGCAATTTGTTCATCTTCAAGAGAATGAAAAAAAAAAAACTTTTCATATTACACTTTTGTCTAAAACACGGAAATTACCTCGACATCTATAAAGAGGCAAGAGCATACTGTTAACTTTGCATCCAAGTATCTTGATAGGACTTTTACATCGATGCAGCCTAGCACATTTGAAAAGATGTTAAAGAACTAAGGTACAAAAGATGATTTTAAAATATAGATGGTCTTACCATTTGGAGTTGTGCTACAATGTAACCCATTCAAGAAATTCGTCTCTCTTTCTTTTTCGCTCTGCACGACTCGCTGCAACTTTCCATATAAGCCGATTCTGTGCAGTTGACAGGAAACAAATACAAGGTTAACAGACCCAAAATTACATAATTGTATTCAACATTGTTAAAGACCCTTAGCACAAAATTATAGAGGATAAGTAGAGTCCTTAATTTTACCCTAATGGATTTGGCACCAAGCTAAGAGTTCTTTCAGCGTCCATGCATGCAGCAACTAAAGCTTCCTCAAATCTATCAGTTATCGATTGCTCCTTTGTACATGGGCCAGCAAGCTTCAACTTTTGAGCATTGACCTGCACAAGCATATCCGGATAATAACTTACTTTCCAAGCAAAAGAAACCATTTGCACCACCATAAAAACATACCCCATGGTCACTTGATGATTCCGCGTCCACGGAAGTACGGGAGTCTTCACTGTCAGCATTTCTATCTCCAAGTGCAACAAGAGCTTTCTTCTCAACAATTGGGATCATTTTCCCTCCAACTTGGCTACGCTACAGCAAATAGAATTTAACTGAGAATGACCGTTGTATACAAGAAAATGTACAACAATAAAAGCTAAAGAAAGTCTAGCACTTGCATTTAACTATTTATCTACTTGACATTTTTCACTTCCCTACTCAACAAGGGGGTTCCATTAAGGACGAGTCTTTTGGACCCTTCCGCAACAACTAAATTCATCTTGTGACAATATGCAAAACTCGAAGACTTCAGTATCTTATTATACCTTTTCATCTTTATTTTTTTAAAATGGAAAATATACTTGTTTGCACTGTCCTATATCCTCCTCAAGATAAAGGTCATTAATTACAACAAGCTAGTTTCTTTCTGTGTAGAGTACTCAGTAGGAAAGAAATAAAAGAATCTTTTTCAGGTATGGAAAGTTCAAGGGAGGAAATATGGGGTTTGACATATTGTAATGCCTTTCTTTGGTTCTTACTTCTAAGCTTTTTTCTAGTTATTTGTTATCCTTTTTCCTTGATCACCAACAGCTAGGGCTCCTTCATTTAAATTTTTTTCTAGCAGTCTCCATGATTGGGTTGGGTTTTTCTGTGTAATTTTTTTTCATTAGGATTGTAATCCTTCATTGACATTGATAAAAATTGAGCTTCTGTCTCAATTTCTACAAACCATCATGCTAAGAAATCGACCACATTACAATGCACCAGAATCAATAAAAGATCCAGAAATTTGATCAAGAAATGAGACTAAAAGAACTATCAAGAAAATTAGGCTAGCAATAGATCAAAAAGAATTGTCATCACATTAGCAATGCAATTGGGGAAGTGTTGCGACTGTTAGGGGCCTAGTAGTCACTAAATGAAAGTTCATGGGAGGTATTATACACAGTGGGTTGAGGTTAGGAGGCTCATTTTTAAATTAGTCTTCAGATGGAACTAAACACTGCTTAGTAACCTTTGTATTTTTTTTTATACTGTAATATATTTCAGTCCCTAATCTCAAGATTAGGCTCCTATTAAATTTGGCTGTTAGGAATGCTTATAGGAAAAATATTGATTATGAGGATACCAAGGGCATAGTAGTTACTGGATGCTAGGTTCAAAATAAAGAGCATTTGAATGCTTGAGAGGAATAATTTCTACTAAAATTTTCACTATAGTAGTTATTATTTTAGAGTTCTGATTCTGCGTATTTATATTTACTGTGTTTTAATATTATGATGCTTCAAAAAGTTAAAAGATGGAAAACAGACCCATCCAGGACGACAACCCAGCGGGTCATTCTTATCTTTAAGGCCATCTAAAAGCTCGGAAATTGAAATTTCAGTATTTCCAAACTTCTCTGCAGGTCCTACGTCAGATTGGTCTTCAAATTCTTCCACAAAATCTTCAACACATTCTGCAACTGGATACTTCTCAGATCTTGATATAACGGCATCAAAGGTGTCAGATAAATTATGAACCTTGGATATGGGAGCTGAGCAGAGTCTATCCTCACGAATAACAGAGCATGATAGTTCTCTCCTCTGTGAATGAAACGTAAATTTAGGTTTCTCTTTGCCTCTGATTCCTGCAGCAGTTAATTTGATAATCAATACCAATCAAGATCACGAGTTTTAAGAAAATAGTAACATGTCAACAAAAGCCAGGGATTATCATCATAAATGCTATCTGTAATTGGTTGGCTCGTGCATCCAAAATGGCTTAAATCAAAACAGCTAAAAAAAGGTGGATTCAATTACCAATCTTAACAACTGCAATCAAAATTCAATCAACTTTCAACTAGCATAATGCATTTTTCTTTTGTTCTATGAGCAAGTGCATCTTCCAGTAAACATGCGTCCGGGGAAGACTCCCAGCATACAAAAGGGGTAGAAGAAGAAAAGTAATAAAAAATAATAATTTTCAGTTGAATGTGATAGGACATTGCCTCAAAACAGAATACAGAAAAAATACTTCACCTTTGAGCTTTTCCAGTCTCAAATTGAGCTGAACTTCTTCCTAACAAAAGGTCAAGAAATAAGTGTCAAATTAGATAAATTTGTAACAATGACAAAAAAACATCAAAAAATAATTCATCCTTAGCACAAAAATCACATCTGTGAATGGACAAAATCAAGTACTGGAAATCTTTTTTAAAAAAATGAAAGGCACAAATTTTTATTGATGTTCAAAAAGTTAAGAACTAAACAATCCTTTAGGAATGAAACTAGAAGGCCATACAGCAACAATAACAGCAGCTAAAGCTTTAACATGGTCTAAAAAACATTGGCAACGGAGCTCGCCCACGAGAATTAACCTCATCAAATGAATAATGGTGAAAAATATTTGAAAAGAGCACTCTTAATTGTTTCTTAGTTTCTTAAACAAAAGAGAGATCAGCTTTTTTTTTCCCCTTGATTCAGAGGTGTTTCTTAGAAAATATAAGAAATCGAAATAGTTAACAGTATCCAGTATCCTGATTTCAGAGAAACATAGCTAAAAATGGGAGAAAGAAAACAAAAAAGTTAGCCTAACTTCCAGACATAAGGTCGAGGCAAGAGTAAAGATTATTTAAAGCTTGAAAGTACCGAAGCAAAATCAACAACAATTATCCTTAAGAAAAAACAATAGGTAATCCATGAAAACAACTTAACAACTCCTCATCCAAACATGTTTTCACTCAATTCATATTATACTTACGTCTTTCAGGAATTCTTATTCTAAAACCCAGAAACTGTGTCTAGACCATTGCCAGAAAAGCCACTATTTCAATAAAAGTGAATTTCACGACCTAATATTTCATTTTCGTCGGAGTTAAAGGAGAATAACTTCAAAATTTTACACAAAACATGCACGTATAATCATCGATAGAAAAGGCAAACAAAAATTCGACTAAAATGTCACTAGTTATAAAAGAAATACAGAGATCAGAGCCCTGAACATCGAAATTCATGACAAAAACTTCAAGTGAAAACATAAAAACAAACTAAAACACTACAAAACGGTACAAAATTAGAGTTAAACAAGAGTGATCAGTGAGAAACACATACAAACCTTTTCCTCCGTAGTTCCTTCAATTGAATCAAAATCTTCGTCCTCTGTATCCATCAGATTAGAATACAAAAGGCCAGTCCATTAAAATCAGCATAAAAAAATAAAAAAAAAATTAAAAAAAAAATAAAAATCGACGTGAAGAAACTACCGGAGATGTCGCAGTCGGAGTCCACATTTGCCTGCATTTCCCTCCTGAAAACAGCCGACCCTCGGCGGGAAACTAAAAGCGACAGTCGATATCTTAAGAAATTTATATATATATATATATATATATATATTTTTTAATTAGTAAAGCATATGTATATATATAATAATAATAATATATAATGGCTTAAATTAAATCAACATTTATATATTTGTTATTAAAAATTGATGAAAAATAAAAGAATAATAATATTAATAATATCTAAATTCAAAATATTTAATCGAAATTTTAATGTGTGTGTGAAACAAATTTCTAACGTATTAAAAAAAAAATGAAGGATCCATTTAATATAAAATAAAATAAAATAATTTTAAAACTCGGAAATAGTAAATTAACCAGAATAAGATTTTGATATTTAATTATTTGATTTAATGGTCGACTATGCATAATTACTTCTATAGTCAAAAGGCACTTAAATACAAAAAAAAATAGATCCAGTAGAAAATTTGACAAAGCAAGTAATTTGGCATCGTTTGGTTATCACGTCTGCGTCTCCAGATCCCATAATCGATTCAGAATGGAAATGGAGGAACGCTCATTTGTTATCCCTCAAGAACAACAGCAGGTTCATCTTCTTTTCATCTTTTTCTTTCGATAAATTTGCAACGTTTGAATTTACTGGAGAATCAGTCGTGTTGTCAGCCGGCTAGTTATGCATTTTTCTATCGGTTATTGACTCGTTTGTTCCTTGTCATTTTACGGATGGTATATGTAATCTACAGAACTCGAAATATGGATTGAACGAAAGTGACGAACGTACTTTTGCTGGGATTGGATTATCGTGGTTGTAGCTTATGTGTAGGGGCTTTTCTTGCAAATTTGTCAACTCGGTTTCTCTGTCTTGTTCGTAATCTAATTGTTGGTTGCATTCTCGTACCTAGCTGTTTGTTTTTGGTTTGGTTTTGAAAACTACTTTGAGAAGTTTTGATTGAATGACTGGTTATGGCTGGACTGTGATTTAGCGAGGAATTGAACATTGGTCAACTCTGATATTGCGATTGAGGAATTGAGTGAATGGTTTTCATCTCTGCTGCGTACTTCATTTATAGGTCTTCTGAGCTTAAATTTCGTTGGTATTTTTTTTTTTTAATTTTATTTTGATGAATGGTGCATCGTTGGTTTCAATTTGGAAACTGAAGATGAACCGGTGCGCATATCTTGTCATGCTTGATTCTCCTATTATTTAGTATATAGCTACCTAACGGGTCTGAAAAATCCATAAGAAAGTTTAGTCGTAGATTTCAATATTTACTTTAATTTTCTGGAGACAGAGAAACAAGTCTACTGTTACATCTAGAAGTTTGCAGGAAGGTTTTATGTCTTAAAATTGTGTTCAAATCATTTCTCAAGATCAGGGTTGCAGAGCACCAAAACGCCCAAGTCTTTTTGAGTTCTGAGTTATCATCAAAGTTTTAAACAACATAGACATCAGCAACGTGTTATAATGGTCAAGTCAACGTATTTCCAGAAACAATGAATTATGAGATCTTCAGATTAGTAGAAATTTCTCACTTGAATTATTTGCATGATACTTATCAGTAATTATTGTCCATTTATTGTCTTGTAAGATGGAAGATGGAGGTGGAAGTTCGAGGTACACTATTGATGAAGCTCTTGTATCCATGGGTTTTGGGAATTTCCAAATTCTTGTGCTTGCTTATGCTGGGATGGGATGGGCTTCAGAAGCTATGGAAATGATGTTACTCTCTTTTATTGGACCTGCAGTTCAGTCTGCGTGGAGCCTTTCTCCTCATCAAGAGTCCTTGATCACCAGTGTGGTTTTTGCAGGCATGTTAGTTGGGGCCTATTCATGGGGCATAGTTTCTGATAAATACGGACGAAGGCAGGTCTCCATTATTCTAATATCATTTCATTAACAGATTTGTATGCTTGATGATGTGACTTTTCCATGTGTTAATGCTATTTGTGCTATCTACTTAAGTCCTTTGCTTGCACTTCCTTTTTAATGGTTCTTATGGTTCAGACTTGAAGATTTTTTTTTCCTTCTATCTATTGACTCATAAAAGATTGTTTTGTATTCACAACTTTGTAATTTAGTTTTTATGCTATAGAATTGAAGTTTTATGACAGTCACAGTAGTTCTAATTTAGTTTTCATGATATATAATTTTTTTTTCCTCAGTCTTGGCGATCCTACATTTCCTTTGGTTTTTCATTGTTAACTTTCTCATTCAGGAAAGGTTTCTTCATTACAGCAACACTCACTTCTGTTGCTGGATTTCTAAGTGCTTTTGCCCCAAATTATATCTCTTTGTTAATTCTTCGCTGTCTAGTTGGCGTTGGATTGGGAGGTGGTCCTGTACTTGCTTCCTGGTTCTTGGAATTCATTCCTGCTCCTGATAGAGGCACTTGGATGGTTGTTTTTTCAACATTCTGGACCTTTGGGACAATCCTTGAGGCTTCATTGGCATGGGTATAATCTAGCTTTCTGTTGTAGTTAAGTACATGTTCTTGCTACATTTTGATCTCTTATTCAGAAAAAAAAAAAAAAAAAAAAAAAAAAAAAAAAAAAAAAAAAAAAAAAAAAAAAAAAAAAAAAAA